CTAATTTCGGCAAAAGACACATTTATTGTACAAAATTTTTTAGAATAAAATTTTACTTCAATTTAACAAAACACGCAATAAATCAACTATGATGCGAATGTTAGTTAAATAAAGTATCAGACACGATTTCATAAATTGTAGAAGTTAAGGCCCTTTTAACAAATTATACCGTTTTAAAGTCTAAGCTTGTGGAACAAAAAGAAACAGATGGCAATATTCGTAACCAAATAAAGAGTTCAAGGACCTCCTTGTAATTTCCATCCCAAGGTCGCTTGAAAATCACAAGCGGACAAGTAAAAACCCTAACAAAGGAGGTTTTAGCAAAGTCACAGAGATTTTTGAGCGATTAAGTCATGAAACCTTTGGAATCTGCTAAAGATGGAAGATTCAAGAGCCCCATAATCTGAATTTCTGGTAAATTTCAATTCTTTTGATGAATTGTTAAAGAAAGAAACCATTTTTATAGAAGAAAATACCGGTTTGATCCCTCTCTTTCCCTTATAGTAGTTTTGTGTTGCAATGATGTTTCCAAGATTTCTGAAGAAAGTAGAAAGGATTACTCAATTCAATATCTGCATTGCTTTCTCAACCATTGCTCATCAAAATCAAGTTTCAAGGTCCAAGCTTTCTCATGTTTACAGTACAGTGAGATGTTTTCAGAGTGGTAGTAGATTTGTCTGTGGGGATAATAAATCTTCATTACAACATTGGTCTCAATCACCAACACGGGTTTTTGGGAACCGGGTTTCTCGAGCTATGAAGAATGAAGCTCAAAAGGCTCTGTTTGATTACTTGCATAATACTAGAACTCTTAGTTTTCTTGATGCAGAGCATATAAGTAAGAATTCCCCTCGTTATGTTTCGGCTTTGTTGTCAAAGATTGATACTAGGAACGAGGATATAGCCCGGTCATTGAGTAAGTTTCTAAGGTACAATCCCATCAATGAGTTTGAACCGTTTTTCGAGAGTTTGGGTTTGCGTCCATCTGAGATTTCGAGTTTTCTTCGACGGGATTTGGTGCTTTTGAGTGATGACAGTGTCATGTTTGAGAATTTCCATGTTCTTTGCTGTTACGGGATTCCTCGTAGCAAGATTGGCCGTATCTTTAAAGAAGCAAGAGAGGTTTTCAGATACGAGAATGGGGTTTTGGCATCGAAACTTGGAGCTTATGAGAGCTTGGGTCTTAGCAAGCCTACAGTCATTAAGCTTGTTACTTGTTGCCCGTTGCTTCTGGTCGGTGGTATTGATAATAGTGAATTTGTTTCTGTAGTCAATAAGTTAAAGGATTTAAACATAGGATGTGATTGGCTTGGGCGGTATTTATCGGATAGAAAAACATATAACTGGCACCGGATTTTTGAGACAATGGAGCTCCTTGATAAGGTGGGATATAAAGAGGAGAAGTTGAGTAGTCTTTTGAAAACATTTCCAGATCTGGTGGGTGAAACTTCTGGGAATAAAGCTTATCATATGTTTGATAAGTTTCATAAAGTGGGACTTCAGATGAAAGAAATCGATAAATTAGTGATAGACCACCCAGAGATGTTGTTAGATAAATCTGTGAAAAGAATTTTGGAGGCGTTGAACTTGATGATGCGTATCAGATTGGAAAAGCAGTTTATCGTTATGATATTACGGCAGCACATGAAGCTTATCTGTTCATCCTCTCTGGTAGGACCTAGAGCTGTTTTGACTAGATTGAATATCGGAAGAGACGAGTTATGTCGGATCATAAAGGAAGAGCCTTTGAGATTATTCAGTTTAGCTTCTAAAATAGAAAATAGGAGAATCGAACTTGATTCATTGGATTTGAGGAACGCAGAGAAGACGGCATTCTTGTTGAGGCTAGGGTATGTAGAGAACTCCGATGAGATGATGCTGGCTCTGAAAAGGTTCAAAGGGAGAGGAGATGAGCTACGAGAGAGATTTGATTGCCTTGTGAAAGCTGGGTTGGACTACAATGTGGTTACCGAGGTTGTGAAGCGGGCTCCTCATATTCTTAACCGGTCTAAAGATATCATAGAAAAGAAGATCAATATCCTTACAGATTATTTGGGTTATCCAATTGAATCCTTAATAGAATCCCCTACATATTTGTGTTATAGTATGGAGAGAATACAGCAGAGATTCTCAATGTATATTTGGTTGATGGAAAGAGAGGCAGTAATGCCGAGGCTTACGGTAGGCACTATTATTGGTATTTCTAATACCCGGTTTATGTCATACTTTGTCTGTACTCACCCTGAAGGTCCAGCCAAATGGGAAAGTATAAAGAAAGGATCTACCTGAGGTGAAGTTTTCTGATTTGTTCAACTATATAACATTATCTTCAATCTGATGCAGATTTCTTCTGATCTATAACATTATCACAAATTTGTGCTCAGGGTCAGTAACCTCAATCTGGAATTTTAATTCAGTGCGATGGAGAGGGTCAGCGTATTTATGTTGACTTGAAGTATTTTCGCCTTTGGATTTGATTTGATTGTAACATCTGTTCATCAGTGTAGTGATATACAATGCCAAAAATGGAACAAGGAAGAGTTGGAGAAAGCTGAAAGAACAGAGATTCTCCATAATGTTGATACGCGACTGAACTCAGTGAAGTGGTTCTTAGACTGCACTGAAAAGATCAGCAAATTGTTATCTCCCCGTCGTTCGACATGATTTCTTCTACTGCTTCCCAAAGAGAGGAAAGGCACAGCTAACATACTTCGAGATATTAGAAGATAAAAGTATTGATCAGGACCAAAAGTATCAGCTAACATCTATTCACTGGGACATACCTGTGACAGTTCTTGCATTATTACAGATTGTTTGGAACAATAAGTTTTGTCCTTTACTCTTAACCACCATTAGTTTATTTCTTGCAACTATGTAAAGATAGCTATGATAAGGTTATGTTTTTCAGATTTGTGTTTATGGGAGTGTTTTCTCTGTTCAAGTTACAAGTAATTGAGAATCTCTTATAGATTTCTAAAGATGTATACACCAAAATATTAGTGTTTTTGTATTAAAAACAAAAGGTTGCATATAGTTGGATTGGTTTATGTTAATAAGCAGTCCTAATCTTAACTGTTGAACATTTAACTATCCATCTCTCTTTATTGAAACTGAACCTAAAGATGTATAAAATCTGAATAGATACAAGAAACAAAAAAACAAAAAATTTCAACAACATATCTAATTACATTTTAACTTATGGTACAGTTTGGTTTCATGTTGTGTTCTTCAGGTCGTCTCTTAAAAT